ATGTTTGCAAGTGGATGATAAAGAACACTGCTGTTTTTGTGATGAAAGTTTCTGACAAAAAAGTTCAGAGTAATTAAGGATGCATTTTGTTGAAGTAACTTTTATCTTGATGTTTTCTGACACAACCTTATTAAGTTGTTTCATTGAAGTCCAAATAGACACACTTCCGAATAAAAAATATATGGAAAATTTGTCAATGTTATTAAATAAAGTCGTGATGTAGATCTTGATATTTTGAATAGTCAGTAAGTGTGCAAAATTAGAAACTCTTTTTTAGCCAAAATTAGAAACTCTTTTTTTTGTGTGTTTAATATTTTACCTCTAAAATATATACATTGACGTGAAATATTGTAATATTTAATGTATTCTTCTATTGAAAAGTTGTACAAATTAAAGTGTTCACGTTCAATAACAGCATAATTTTGTAAGAAATCTTTTTTTTCTGTTGACAGTTTTATAGTTGTGTATATATTAACCTCTATATTTATTTATTTTATTTTTAATCATTTTATTTTGAGATTCTAAAATAAAGATTTTCGTTATTAAATCTAGTTATTCATTTTCCGTTAAATCAGTTTTGTATTGTAGTTGAACACGACAACTACAAATTTTGAGGCTGCAATCCTCAAAGTCATTTAACGGTTGTTTTTTATTGATTTTTCTGACCAATATTTGTTAAAAATTGAATACCTTCAAGATGAGTAATGAAAATATAGTTGTAAAGAATACATTATAAAGCTGTACTTTTTTTATAAAATTTTTTGTTATAAAGGATAGCTGTCTGTTTAAATTTTTAAATAATTTTTGACCACTAATTAAGACAATTAAAGTTTTTGTGAATTTTAAATAATCCAATGCATGACCTCTTTCTTTAGGAACACAGCAAAAAGCTTCTCTGCCTCCAAAACTGATTTATTTTAACTTTTTTTCAACACTTACTTATTATAGTCAAAATACTCTAATGTTTACGCTTTATAACTACCCGAAAACATAATATTGCCCCAAAGCATTACATCATTACATTATCAAAATGCAGGACGAGTTTTGTTAATTTGTTACGTTATAAATTGTTATGGTGTATTCGTTAGAATGCTAGAAATTAAACACAAGGACCTTGTGTTCAAATCTAACGAGGAAGTTACTTGTGGTAGAACACTAGACTCATAATTAAAAGATTTGAGGATCAAACTAATTTTCTTTCTCTGGAAGTACTGCTTTAAACTGTTTCTTGGCAAAGCTGCCTTGTTAAACGGTATTCTCTTTTAACAAACCTGACGTTGAACCTTTTTAACGTCCGAGTTTTTTTTGAATGATAATTCAATTGTTAAGATGGATGATAATTCAATTGTTATACTACTTTTATAAAATATTTGTTCGCAAACTACGAAAAAGAAGTTGTTTTTTTTAAATAAAGGCCTCTTTTTCCTTTGGGGATCAAAGAAGAATTTCTTATTCATCCTACAGCGAGAAAAAACAACATTTCTATTATTATTTTATGAAACGTCTCTTGGTTATTATTAGGTATAAGCCTATCTAAAAGTTAGATTGTTAAAATTGTTAAGGAAACATAAAAAAAAAAAAAAACAATTGTTTGTTTATTAAACCATTTTAAAAATGAAATCGGCAGAATGAGTAAAGCTATACTTTCCAGTGTAATATCTGAACTTTTCAATACACTTCATTTCAATCAGTGAAAAAAAGCGCAAGAGACCATAAATTAGTTCTATTCCATTAGTGATACACGTTATAAATTTCATATTTTTGATTTCTACGCTTCGATAAAAAGCGCTAATAGTTTTTCTGAGCAGCATCTAACCATTTGAAGCATAAATTGTTTATTTCATAAACACAATACTTATATTTACAATATAAGAACTTTTTTATATATATAGAAAGAATTGTGTAACATTTATTAATTAATATAAAAAACACAATCTTAGCAAATTAGGTAATATTGCAATAATAAAAATATTATTACGTCAATACTCCACTTCTTGCCTCCACATACACGTCGAGTGATGTCCTATTATTAATAGTTTCTAACCTTTAGAAATTAGTTTCTAACGCATCAGAATCTAACAATTAGAATCTAACGCGATCAACATTTTTTTATAATGGGGCCCCCTGGCCCCCCTCCCGCGGTGTCGTCGGCCTTGTAAAACTATTTAAAAAAATACTGCTACAAAGAAACATGAACAAAGTAGTGATGTTTATTATAACAATTTTTATGTAAATAAAAATTATTATAATAAAAACGTTTAATTAGGGTCGTTTCCACAATTACCGTGAGTTTAACAAAAGTTATTATAATATGTTAGATTACTCAAAAAGTAGAAATTTATTAGAAATGAATTTTTGCAGCCATCAATCTAGTACTATAAGGGTTAGTTTAAAATTATTCTCACTCTGAAATTTAAATCGATAATGTACTTATTTTGATCAAACTTTTAAAGCGCAGTTTTACATACTTATCGTAAGTGTTTCACACTTATCGTATATCTTAAAATCTGCTTTAGTGACTGGTTTATAATGCGCTCGCGGTTTCAAATGAAAATTTAATGCATTAGTAACATTTTATTAAACGTTTTTAGGTATATAAATTAAAAAAAAAAGACTATTAAATAAACACTAATTATATAGTAATGAAAATATTATTTTGAATTAAAACTAAAGATTTTTAAAGCATTTCCATTACTTTAGTACACATCTTTTAAACTGTAAAGGATAGAATTTCATCATAGTTATCTGAGTCTTATATTATAATTATTGTTAACAATGGAACTCGTTTTCCGACTCAGTTTCAAGGCTTACTTTTTCTTTTGCAACTTTCTTTTTCTTTTTCAAAATTTTCATGTTTTTTCTTTCTTTTTTAGTTTTTTCATTAAATAACTTTTTCTCCATAGCCATTTGTTTCTTTCTTAATCTTTCATCCTCTTTTTTTGACTTTTTATCTGCAGCTAATTGTCTCTTTTTTAATTTTTCATCATTTATTTGTGACTTTTCTTGCAATTTTGTCTTTTGAATTTGCTGCCACGTTTTAAATGTTACAACCGATGGTAAACGTTCTATTTTGCGCTTGGACGTTTGGACTGGTTGTTTTGGCCATATTAAAACACTTTTAATTGGATTTATGAATTCTGCTGCTATTTTTAAACTAGAACAAGCTGATTTTGGTTCTATTACCGCTATAATATTGCAATCAGGAATTTCCATACCGGTTTTAACTTGCACATTTTCTAAATTACAAGTTGTTGATAGATTTTTATTACCCTGTTGTATTTCATAAGGTAAAATTGTGGTCTTATATGTTTAAGATGAGGCTCTTTTCCAAAAATGATACAGCTGGAGTAATTCAAGATTACCTTTCCAACCTAAATGTTCGTCAGCTGTTTTAAACTGCTCTAAAATACTTGGATCAATGCAGTTTTCAATAAAGATTATGGGAGAGGAAGCGGATAAAGTCACACTTGATTGATTCTCTTCTAAATAAGGAGTCGGAGCCACAGTTGACTCAAATAATCTTTGAACAATTTTTGTGTAGTCCACACTATTAGCATCAAATGGAAATATTCCGGTATTTTTAAAAGCACTTTTAACATTATTTGCCATAGAAGGATTGATTATAAATGAATTTAATTCTGGTAAACTTTCATTGTTTATTTCTTGTCCTTAATGATCAATGCGCCATTGTCGGCAAAAAGATTTCCACTTTGCTTTCATTGGCCCAAAAACTGCCACATCGAGCGGCTACAAAATATGTGTTGCATTTGGGAATAAAGCAACAAAAATTATTCCATTTTTAGAGCAAAACTCACTAAGTTCGATAGAAAAATGTGACGCATGATATCAAAAAAAAAAAAAAAACTGGTAAAGGAGTTTCTTATCAAAATTGGAGCGTCTGATAAGGAATTCCAAACGTTTTGCTTGCTTTGTACACAACCATACCTTTTTTAACAGCATTAATAGCATCTCTTAATTGGCAATCTGTATATTGAAGTCTTCGTTTTGTGCTACAAACTTTTGTCTTATACTTTTGTCTTGCCATTGTAAAAGAATCTAAGTAAAATAGTTTTTTTTATGTAAAAAAGAACCAAATTGATTATTTCTTGGACATACGATATATATGGAATGACATTTTTTTTGTTCATACTTATCGTACGTTCAAAAATACTACATTGATACTATAATGATGAGTGGTTTTAATAATATTAATAATGATCTATGTTTTATTCACCTTGTTAAATCAATTTAGAAATAAAATTTTATCTTATCTTCTTAAATTATTTTGTTTTATTTGAAACGCTTCTAACAGCTGGTACTTAAAAAAAAGTATTTTCATAGGCTGACGTAATAAACTCACTGAGTTTACATAAGTAACTATGTATTGCGGTTTCTATGTATTGTAATAGAAGTGCATGACGATGTTGTTGATAAAGAAAATATATATATTAAAAAAATAATTGCTACTTCCCAGCAAACATGTCTGCGTTGAATCAACGTTGAAAACCGGTCGCAAAAGATGTTGCGGAAACGTTGACAAAGTAATCGATTTTGCAAAGTTATGTAACGTTGTTAAAGAGACGTTGATTAAACTTTGTAGCGTAACGTTGAAAAAACATTACTAAAAGACGTTACAAAAATGTCGCAACAAAACGTTGAAAAAACCTTACTTTAAAAGCGTTGAATAGGCGTCGCAAACGTTGAAAAAAAGTAAATTGAAAAGCGTTACTTTAACGTTGTTAAAGCAGTTAATTTTGCAAGGATTTGTAACGTTGGTAAAAATTTGAGTCACATTAAATTTTTACCTTTACTCGACGTCTTTGAGTCACATTAAATTGACGTAAAACGTCAATTTAACGTGACTCAAAGACGTCGAGTAAAGGTTGAAATATAACGTTAAATCAACGCTCAAATGCGTTGGAGAAAATATCGCAAAATATTATTAAACGTGATTAAATTTGGCTATAATGTAAATTGAATTTGCAAATAAAACAAAATTGTATGTTGAACTCTGCACTTGCAATATTTCCAATGTCGATTTTAATACAAATAGTAATATACAATGAAAAACATAAAAAATATACAATTTATTTATATAAAATTTACAATTTATAGATAAAAAAATAAACATCTTTTTTAAGATTTGTGTGTGTGTGAATTTACAGGATTTACGTGTGTGAGTAAAATTTATGCGTGTGAGTGAATTTACAGGATATCGTATCAATAAGCCAGGATATCATTGAGATACAGAGTCTAAATCAAAATATATATTGTGAACGTCGTAATAGCATAAAATAAGTAACTGTTTTTAAAAATAACACGACGTTTTTTATTCTTTAAAGGTTTTGTAGTAAACAACTGGGTTGATACCTGACTGGGGCCGGGGCCGGGGCCGGGTTTGATAAAATTTAGCAGGGGCCAGGGCCGGGTTTGAGACCAGACTGCATAAACATTTATACATCCTAAAGTATATTTTTTAAATTTAAAATTCATGCTATATTTTGTATATATATGCATATATGAACATCATTGTAATCAACATGATCATCATAATCATCATAACCATCATCATCACCATCATCATCATCATCATCATCATCATCATCATCATCATCATCATCATCATCATCATTGTCATCATAATTATCATAATCATCATTGTCATCAACAGCATAAAAACGGAAAGCTTGACAATAATAATAAATATTATGTTGATGTTGATGATCGTCATCATGATAATCATCATCATCTTTATTATGGCACTATGTAAGGCACACTCTTCAAATTTTCTTACATCTACCACAACTATTTTATACTGAAGCTGCTACCATTCTACATGTTAGTACCTGAATTACTTCAACTTTTTCTAAAAAAAAAGGTTGTTTGACACAACGTTTTTCTAATCTGTCTAAGATTATGCCTACTTTTTATATCTTGTTAGATTCACACCACACATCCATCTGATCATTTTCTCTTTCGACAAATACTACACTACATAAATACTAAAGTTTATACAACAATAAAAGGATATTGTATGCCAGC